AACTTTAGACAATGCAAACTTAGTCCTTTAAATCCTGGTTTTCAAACTAAAACACCCTTTTCTGTTAATACGTAGAATACCAGGATTACGTATGAGTTCAGTAAGTCAAGAGTGCTTTGACTTTACCTATCTAGAGAGTGCAGCGAGACACATTTGTTTCACTAATATTCTCGAACACCAACAAATCCAGACCCAAAGCGTTTCGGGTTCTAAACGAGATATCTAGCGCATATTAACGAAATATTTAAGCGTGCCAACAATGGGGCGGAAGGTAATTAACTAATTTAACACGCTGATCTGACAACTCTGTAATTAACGGGATAACGTGAGCTGTTTCGTGACGTCACAGTTGGAAAGTAACAGCAATACTGTACACTTTCCCCGCACTTGACCTACTGAACCACTTAACTTTCCTTCTCGCTGTCGTGAGGGAACGGAAAGGAGACGTTTATCAGCCGGACCCTGTGCTGTCGACAGCGAAAGTGGCAACCTACTTGTTCACAGGAATGTCCTGTCACGCCATAAATTTAAATTATGATCATACAAAGAAATAGGACAATAAACGTGTTAAACACAAGCGTATTGTTGCTGCCATGTTATTCAACATGTACCAAGAGGGGCAACTCGTGACGTCATGTTGCAGAATCCGCTTCTCTGTGACACTAATAGAGTTTATCTTGTTTATGGTTAGGATGTTATTTGGCTGTAACATTTCATAGCAAACTTCAGTACTGACGTGAAATATGAGTTACTTATTCATTGGAATGTTTAGTTAGACTGTGTTTCATATAGATGTAGAGGGTTTATCTAAGTTGCAACAGATTACGCTTCATTAAGTTCTTTCGTTAAGTCTCCCGTTTTGCAGTAGATCTGCTACATTTTCACTTGGCATTAAGTCTCATACAATTATACTTACCGGAAATTACCTAAGAAATCTCATATTTGCAGCTCCTTTTCCTTAACCAAATTTCGTTTCTAAAATACAAAAGTTGTTAGAGAGACTTATTTCACAAAAACTCATTAATCTCAAAGCAGTTGAGTCCTTCTTGAGAAGCCACTAGTTGTGCAGCTACTGAAGAACTTCTCAGCATTTTATGGAACCCAGAGATCCATTACCGTGTTCACGAGAGCCCTCCATTGGATCTTACTATGAGCCAGATTGATCCAATCTATACCAAGCCATCCCATATCTCTAAGATACATTTAAACATTATCCACTCACCTACATTTCGGTCTTCCTAGTGACCTCTTTCCTTCTGGTTTTCCCACCAGTATCCTAAATGCTTTCCTGTTCTCCTCATAAATGCTACATGGCCTGCCCATCGCATTGTCCTTGACTTGCTCATTCTAATCAATTTGGTGAAGAGTACACGTTATGAAGCTCCTCATTATAGTTTTCTCCAAATTCTCACTCAGTATTCTAAATTTTAAAACTCTGGCCATTAGTTTAACTCATAATTAAGCTGTAATATATATAGCTCTTTAAATGAAAGGTGATGGAAAGGAATCCTGCTGTGAAACAAGTATTGTAAGTGATAAACAAATTGTTTCCTTCTTATTATAATTGTTAGAAGAATTTATCCAAGCTGGAGGTAAAATTATTACCACATGGGATCAACAAATTAATTCAATTTTCAGTGAGGAACAACTACCACAACAATGGAAGGGATATTGTGGGGCACATACAGAAATATGAGCATGAAACTTCTTGGAAATGAGGCACTTAGAAGAATGAAAGGTGATAACAGCATGTTAAATGAGAGGTGTTTTGAAGTGGATGGAATTGGCTAAGGATTTTGTCCAGTGAGGGAGTATGATTTAGATGACAATGAAATTCAAAGTTCCATTACCAGAGAATGGGTTATTAAAATGTAACATTTTATAAAGAATCTTGCTATATGTACAGGAATGCTAAAGATTCTGACATTAAATGTAACATTTTTTGGATACACAAGACACATTTTTCAATAGTACTTAAAATTTGCTGTGAAAAAATGAAGTAAAACAAATTATATTTTTATTAATAAACAACAAATAACAGCAATAAATAATACATTGTTAGTAAATAATAAGTTAGGAAGCTAATTGTGCTTCAATCTGGTGGTCATCATTGAGATCAGTAGTCAGTGGAGCTGAGCAAGCTGCAAGAAAAAAATCACAAATTTCTGTGTACAGATGTCACTGGTGCACGAACTATTGCAACATATTTGTTCTTGACTTGCCACACGCTTACCCTGTGTTTAGAAGTACTGGACCAAATTATTTCAGGCACAAACTTGTCTGTATATATGCCACTTTAACTCAGCAAGACACACAAAATAACACATCTACAATAACAGTATGTCATCATGGTTGTTAAGGATATTACAATGCTTTGAATCATGACTTTTTTCGTGATGTACCACACAGAAACTTATTCCGAATGGAAATTATGAATCTTAAAGAGATCTCCATTTTATGACATGTAGCCTATAATTTCTTCCTGCCAGTCATTATTTTATATTTTTATTGCTTTTCAAATTATGATTTCTTTTCTTTCTTTATCTCTGCAGTAGTTATTTGTATCGAAAATTGTTTGTATGTGTAACCACAACTCAAAAAAAAAAAATTACATGGGGAATGGAGGTAAAGCTTTAGATTTCCTTAATCTTAGCAATAGTGTAACCCACATATTTTATTAAAATTAATTATATTTATATTCAAATAAAAAGACTGTAGTTACACTTAGGTACATGATAATGATTAGTCTATAACCTCTTATAATACAGTTTTGTTGCATTACTGTTCTTATGCAATTATATGTCAGATTTTCTGTACGAAGAAATTTGGCTGCAAAAACAACATTCAACACACCCTCCACTTCATACTGTTAACAGAAAAGAGTTAACTTTGAACAGTATTTTGGAGTTACTTGACTGACAATGTGTATTAAGAAAGAAAATGGGACAAGAATTGGGAATGCTATTAAAATTATCAAGCAGGACTCTGCTAATGTAAACAATTGATCCTCACATGATAAGGTTTCTTATTCTCTATAAAAGTATCATCATATATTACTCATTCAAGGAGTAAACTAAACGTTTCTCTCAAAAATGAGTTTAGTATGCTAACATATCAGAAAGATGTGCACTGTTTTCTTTTATTTAAGTATTTGTGATTTATTTAATGACACCGTCAACAGTTCAGAAAAACCAAGACTGAATGATAGGATGATTATTTTATTATGAATGTGAAAGGAAGAAGTCATGGCCTAATTTGAGGAGAAACTGGGTAAAACCACAAAAAAACATTAGTCAGTAAAGCCAGTGCCTGGTACAAAATTTGAACTTGGAAACTTAAAAAAAAAAACAGGAGAGCTATCCACATGATCATGAAGTTTGCTTTGCTTTTCCTGTTACCAGTATGTAGTTTACTAACTTTAAAAAAAAAATATTTTTTTCTTTTCACTTTCATAAAAGATATCTTAACCTACAATATACGTATTAAGCACTCAATTTAGTTTAAACAGTCTTCCAAAGCAGTCATATCTTATTCACAGAATCAAGTAGATGAGAGAAATTTAATTAAATTCCAGTTATATTTATCTAAACCGTTGGAATAATATAAGAGTTCATTGATTTTATCTTCAGAACTTGTGAAACTTTGCCTATTTTACCAGAACTTAAACGTTTTCCTACAAGAATGGAAGCAGCAGACCTCATCCAAAGTATTTTAATGTATCTACTTCCTTCACCTGCTAGAGAATCCAGATTTTACTTGCAGTGTGTATCTTTAACATAAACATTTGAACTTATTAACTAGTACCCAATTTTGTCAGTTGGTACTATAGCAATGAATTATATTTAACAGCATTGCCTCAGTATTTGCAGTCTATATATCAGCTGTGTAAATTACACTAAGGCAGTGGTCTCAAGATTGAACTACTAGTCTTCTAACCAGTGCAATGTAATATCTTAACCTTACCCATTTCAGGCCCATATTTTGTACTTATGGCACTTAAAAATCGTCATTTAACATACATAAGACAGTTCAGTGCACTACAGTAGTTCCTTAATAACTAAGTGCACTGTTTCAACTGTTCTGGACAGGGAAGAAGAGTTGCTTAAAAATTTAGATAAGCATACATAGTTTGATATAAGAACACAGGTTGTTTATAGATAACATAGTAGTACACTATTAATATAAGGTACACAAAAATCTGGAACCAGTTCAAAGTATTTCTTTTCGGACACAGCTGAATAATCTCCCTAGATATAAAAGAATATAGTGAGATCATTTACTTGTGGAGGCATGATGCGTGGGTCTATGGTCAAACATCAGGGAAATTTAACAATAAATATTCATGATGAACTCCATTTATACGAGTACATGAACTTGGAAGGAGAATAAAGTGGTTCATTCAAGGTGTTGACTCACCGCAATATGTAAATCACTACTTGTCATTAGATGAGATGCTTCTATGACAGTGATTAGGTAGAGATAAGCTTTGGAATGGGCTTTATGATACATCAAGTTGCAGGTTTGCTCTGTAAAAATTAATAATGCAGCTCATCTAAAGCACAGAATTCAAGACATCTGAAAATCCTTCAGCACAGATATTCTCATAAGTTGCCAGGGACCATCTTATTTAGTCTGTGAAGATATACCTTGAGATAGGTGCTGGACATGTAGAAAAAATACTGTAAAACAGTAGTAAAAAGTGAATGAAATATTTTGAAAATTACACTGATTTCTGGGATTTGACATAATGTATTCTGATAGGCATTTATCAAAATTTCAGAGAAACCTTATGCTGCAATCTTTAGGGTTTATGATGGAGACAGTAGTTTCCTGAAAAAATGTTGGTAAATTTCTACTCGACTACAATGTATCACATTCCAAAAAGAGAGAGCTGCACAGTGTCAACCTAATATCTTGCAAAATATGTTTATCTAGTTCCAGACTTTTCTCGGAAATGCACAAGTTAGTTTAGATGTCTCTGATGTTGGTCTACAGCAACTCAGCTGTAATATTATTTCTCTTAGATATAAAGAGCACACAATTACAATTTTTTTATGTGAACAGGCAAATCTTATAGTTAATATTGCCATAAACTACCATTTTCTATCCATATGTATAAAACAAACATTTGTAAACAATGATTTATCACAATTTTTTAAATTTAAATTATTTTATTTATTATACGTCAGATTATTATACGGGCTCTATAATACTATGGACCATCTGATGGACTGCCTTGGACTACCTTTTCTGAAACACCGGTCTAGATATTGTTTTCTAATTACACAGAAGAGTTCATTAATTGAATAGCAATGTAATCAAATTGAAGGTGTTCTTATCAGAGTAATGGATTGCATTGCTTTGTTAGATTTGATGCTTTGTATTTCTGTAAATAAAGATAGTTCTAGCACTCTGATTTGAAGTTGGTTTGGTAACCACAGCCATCAGATAAGAGAGAATCTTCGCACTAATATTTTTGAGAATACATGAATGATGAAAAATCAACTGTAATTCAAAGACAAGTTTGTTTGCTTTTCATTCAGTTTTAATTTTATGTGATGTCAATAGAACATCCCCCTAATCTCAATTAGAGTCATGAAGGCATCAGTCTGAATCAGAAGATGAATATTCTTTGGCCTACCTCCTTAAATATTTTGTGAATGAATCTCTCCTTGTAATTAATACAGATATACAAATGGTTCAGATAAAATTGTAGCTGGATTTACTGGAGTCCAGACTGTTGGAAGTAAGAAACACATGTGACAGGTATCTGTAAAACTATGGCCGCTCCAACTTTACTGAACATATCTGATAAACACTTTACCTTAATGATGTAAATATAATTTCTTTATAACATTTTTTTATCACAAAAAAAAAACTTCTGTGAATGTAACATTATATGTTACCTGCGTGCACACTGGGGAATGCCTGTATGCCCAGATTCAACATCATAACTAACAAAACATAATATCACAATCAACAAGACATTAAACTTACAATTGGAGCATTTATTATTGTTGGAACTGTGCTGAAATAATAATTATGACAGAAAAGTTAATATCATTATCCCAAAACTTGACACCGGACACAGTCCTGAACCAGGTCCATTTACCTTCCAATATTACAATGTATTTCCCTAACATTCCACTTAATGTTATCTTCTCTTCAAGAGGTTTTCCTGATAAAATTCATTATTGTATGTATTCCATGTTCTGTCACCCTAGCTACATGCCCAGGCCATTTTAATGTCCTAGATTTCAGTTCTATTAGTGAAAACTGAAAGATAACGATCATGAAAAACATTGCTAAGTTATGTTCATCAATAGTATTCAGAAATAGTGTCCATAAGCACTTTCACTGTACAAGTATCTAAGTTCGTTTTACTATATGTAGGAAACCTGCCTGAAAGATCATTTCACTTAAGCAAATTAATCAAAGTTAAATCTGTTAAAAATTTCCAGATCTTTGGGAACATTTAGAGAAGATGCTCTGAGTGTCATCATTGCAGTGCTTGAGGTAGTCATGAGTTTATATGTGCTGCAATCCAGCCAGCTGTGTCTGCTACCTTATGGTATATTCCTGGCTGATGGTCCACTGCACAGCCAAACCCAGCACTTGTGATACCAGCCAGCATCCACCTACCATCTTGCTGCACAATCAATGGTCCACCAGAATCCCCCTGAAAGCAGTAAGCTGCTTCATACTGTTTGTTTTGTAAATGAAAGAATACTGTTCTTAGGAAGTTCTGATTCCTTGCAGCTGACATAGCGTATCTTGCAGGACAAAAGGATGTTAGGGTCCTTTCAAATGCATGAATATTCTGTCATTCAATAACTTAACAGCATGAATTGATTTTGATACAGTTATGTATTAGTAGTTACTATAGGATTCTGACAATGGTGTATAACGCATAGAGATATTGGGTTTTCAGAAACATCATGTTTTTCTTAGTTATCTTAAAACCAGGACGATGGATAAAGTCCGAAAACCCAATATCTCTATCAGTTATGTATTGTTATATTGAAGTGATTTTTCCATGATGTGAGGACATCATTGAGAACATTGGAGGTCCTACTGTGGGCTTTAGTTGTGATGCTGATGAAAATTTGGATTATATAACTGAACGCTTCTCTAATGGCCATATAATTTGTATGATCGTGACATTTGTAGATAGGTATTTCCAACAGATTCATAGTTTCTAACGGCACCCTATCAACTACAGAGATTACATAGACTTGAATAATAGGTTTTTTTTTCTAGTGGGGTGGGACTAAGTCCCTTGTACTGCGGCCACTTCTGGCCTATTGTACCAGCCCCAGATGATAGGTGAGGGTGATTGTGGAGCAACTGGTGGAATGAAGATTGGCAGGGAAACCGAAGTACTCAGAGAAAACCTGCCGCAACGTCACTTTGTCCACCACAAATCCCACTTGACCAGACTCGGGATTGAACCCAGGCCGCCACGGTGGGATGCCAGCAACTAACCGCTTGAGCTATGATGCGGCCTGAATAATAGGTTAATATGATTCTTAATGATGAGAAATGTGCTGGGAATGAACAATAATAGCATATTTTAATATACTATTCCAGAATCTACCTGGATGAATGGATAATAACTAGTGGAAATCTTGTATCAGGATAGGTTTATCACCATGTGAGATTCAGATTGGGTCCCTCCTGACCTGTTCAGTAGGAATCAAGTCATCCAGTCAGTTACATAATCAGTCAACAAGCCAGCCAGGAGGATAAATAGGAATATCCCCATGTTTGGAAATTATCATCCAAATATTCATCTTTCAGTGTCACCCCAAGCTATTTAATAAGATTATGGGATGTAATAGACAAATTACAACAGTATTACAACAGTTGAATATTTGTATCTCACTCACCAGACAAGCATCCATATGGCCATCACTGTGACCGGCACAGAACATCTCAGAATGCAGCTCCAAGTTAATGTTCTTGTGCTCATGCCACTGCAGACACTCTGCATCACTCAGAATAGGCACTGTTGCCTTTTGTAGTATGTTGGTCCCTGTCTTACCTACACAACAAAACAATAAATATCAGTATTAGTGGGTTTCTGGACTTTGTCTATAATCTAATATTCCAAACAGAACACAGCAGAGACACTTCCACACATTTATGACTGAGGATGGATACAGGTCTGTTTCTGAAACACTGTATTCTTTCAGAATACCAGATGACTGAAAAATTTTAAAAACTCAGTAACATGAATTGCAATACTCAATGTCAAAACCCTTTATATATGGTTAAACTTTATACAAAATCTGCCTCTTGTATTAACAGATACTGATCTGAAACATTTCCTGTTTAGAATCTGAAACAAGGAATTGTTCCATCACCATTACGTTTCAACTTCTCATTAAAATTCAATACTAGAAAGATCCACAAATATCATATAAGAGGGAAACTGAATGGAATACATAATATTCTTGCTTCTGCCAACAGTGTTAACTGAAATGTAAATAAAGCAAAATCTGTGTACTTGGCCACATCTGTAAGCTGTTCACATGCTTAAGTTGGCTGTCTTTGAGTGTAGTAACAGATGGCTAACACTGAAAGCTTTCACCACACACCACAGTTTCTTTCTACGAAATTGTTTTACATATGCATTGTGCTAATTTGCTAACTTCAGACATTTATTTTTTTAGCACAGTATGTATAATGGAGGAGACAGGGGCAATGGGAAACTCTATGATTTATTCTGTTCCCCAGCTGTTAGACAGTTAAATTAAAAGTATTCTTGGATGGGAAATATATAGTAAAAGACATTAAGGAAAACTGAGAAAGATATGAGAAGATAATAGAAAAACTGATATCAGAAAAGTAAGTTGTGCAAATATGATGCTGACTAATAGGATTTAGCATTAATGTTATTAAATCTGTGCATTCTATTACTGGAGAAATGGCATAGTTAATATATGTATGGGTGAATTGGTGGGGGTAAGGTAGGTGGATGTATGGATATACAGGGTAATTCATAAGTCTCTCTGGAAACCCCGACAATAATTTAGAATCACTCTGTAGATGAAATACATGGCTATGAGGGATACTGTGATTATAAATTATTGTTGGGATTTCCAGAGGAATTTACAAATTATCCAGTAGATGGAGATATGGACAGATATGCAGATATACAGAATATGCTATAAGATGTGATCTGTGAGATATACAGTAAAGGTAAACTATCTTTGTAAGAGGCCGTGGAGGCCCATAGGGTTGTGAGAGGTAGAGGCTCCCACATTTTCTAGAAAATAGACTCACAGATGGTGGTGATGTTGTCAGCCTTATGCACCAGCTGCCCTCTACCCTCCAGGAAGATTCCTGGTACTCATTTTTGTTAGAGGCTGAGTCGACCACAGGGCCATAGTGCAGTTGGAAGGATTGGGTAAATCAAAAAATCCAATGACCTCATTGGGAATCGAAACCATGACCTTCCTGCTTCTATCATAGTGCCTGAGAACTACACTACTGAGAATTATGAATCAAACAAAATTTCAAGATGATCACCAAGAATTCAATGCAGGGGAAACCAAAGTTTACACAATGTTAAAGAGGAATGTTGAAATAAAATATTTGTGGCACTGTGTGAAACTGAAAAGGGATATAAATAGGGACATTAATAAAACTGTGTGGGAACTGTTTATAAGTGTGAGATCTAGGAAGATTTCAGTTTCAAAAACAATACTTCAGGTAGAAGTGAAAAAAGTGGCAGATATGTTCTTGTTTTGTTTGTTATAGAACTGATATAATTTGAGTTGTTTTTCCAAGAAGTGGTAACATACAACATATGTGAGAATCATAATATGGCAGGAGTGAAGGGACATTTTACCAACCATAAGTGGTGTCCGTTTTGCCCCAGCCTGCCACAACACCCATCTGACCCCAGAATGATGCATCATGTCGTGGTAGGCAGATGGGAAGGATGTTCTCACGATAACTGACTGGTCTTGATAATCTGAGTAGTGCCAAGTCAAATCTGTCAGGTTGCGTGATCCTGTATTGAAAGTTTGGGTGGATTATCTTGTGCACAACCCTCAGGATCTCCTCTGGAAGTGGCTCAATGTAGTGGCCTGTGTTCTGTGTGTCATACTCCCCCAGGTACACTGTGATATCCTTTAGACGTGCCCTGCAACAAGATAAAACGTCTATTGAAATCAATCACTGTTGGGGTCCACTCACACTCCTATCCAATGGGTACTGGAGTCCCCATGGCACTTTTTCTTTTATGCTAATGATGTTAGTGGTATGTAAATACAATAGTTGTTTGTTTTAGTTAGGCCAGTTGGAGAAGTCGTTAACTCTGTTGTTACAGGCAATTTGAATCAAGGTAACTTATTTCTCCATTCTTACTCCCATAAGAAAAGATTTGGGACTGCAACAACAATGAGTACCATTATAATCCCTATGCAACCATTTATCTACATGTTAATTAGTACAGGCTGCTTCAATCCAATATAACAATGGCAAGAAGGAACTCTGTTGCTTGATGTGGTTATATAAGCTTTTGGTGCACTCAGTTTTCTTATGTGAGGATGAATAATTACAGAGCAACTATGTAATGATACAAGGGGCAAAAATACAACAATGTCATTGTTTTTACAAAGGAAACAAAAGGGATCCTTGGACTCCTGCATCTAATCAATGACCCATAAGTTCTATCATAGAATATGCAACCTCCATACCCTTTTATATGAAACATAATAAGGAAAATTTCTTGCATGGTGAATATATCTGTTTTCTGGGAATGCACCTGCAGCTGCCAGACACCAGTAAAAGTAAATGCATTTGATTCCTCTCTCATTAGCCACAATGACATCAATAACTTTGTTTAAAGTAAAAAAAGTAAAGGTATCCCTGTAACAGGCCGTGTAGGCCCATAGGGTTGTGAGATGTTGAGGTTCACACATTTTCTAGACAATCGGCTCATAGATGGAGGCAAGGTTGTCAGCCTTACACACCGGCCGCCCAAGAATATTCCAAGAATAATCCTGGTACTCATTTCTGTTAGAGGCTGAGTCGACCCCAGAGCCATAGTGTGGCTGGAAGGATCAGGTCAATTGAAAAAAATCCAATGACCTCATCAGGACTTGAACCCACGACCTTCTGGCTTATAGCATAGTTCCTCAACCAACTATGCTACCGCATGCCCCTCAATAACTTTGTTTAAAATTATTAATTATGTTAAGGGGCTGAATAAACACAAAATTTGAGAACCCCTGTATTAGATAGTTATCTCAAAAAACTGTGGCACTGATTTTTCCGCATGGACATGCTAGTTAAATATAATTAACAGGACTGTCTAAGTATAACATCTTTAGCAGTAATACCACAAAAGTCAGCCAACGCAGACAGACCATCATTAATGCAATATTACACAACTGACCTGTGAATGCAGTGTGCTGCAGTAGCCACATACCACCTGCTGACCAGCACACCCCCACACTGGTACCCTGCAATGCGGATGTGCGCCTGCCATGGAAACTCCCCAAAGTAGGCTTCGTTGCCACCAATAATCCGTTTCTGTAGCGTAATCCTTGGCACTCCACACTCTGCACAATAAACAGTATGAAACCATATATATATTTGTTTTACCTGAATATCCTTGTCTCCATTTCCTAGTTTATTCAATAACTTTTTTAACTGCAGAGGTCATATACACAGTATATGAGGGTCATGTGAATCACTAATTGTGAAAGATGTGGGACTGTTTGTGGCCTTTTGTAAGATTGTCTCTCAAAATTTGTCTGACGGGACTGGAAAAATATGAACAATCTCAAATAACTTAGCAAGACTCTGATAACTGAGCATAAACCTTTCCTATATAATAGTAATAGTATAATTAAGGCATAATAATTATGTATGCAGGTGTCTCCTTAATTTATATAAAAATTGTGTGGCCACCACCAGAAATTTTTTCAGGGGGAAAGCAAGAAAATTTTCTTAGGAACTTCATTTTAAGCCATTTCAAACCACTGTTATTCATCACCCTGGAATTGTGGGTTTCTATATTGAAACATATATGGTGCCTCAAGCAAACATTACAATTATTATTTAGTAGGTCTGCATTTCCTTCTTTGAATTTTTGTTTTAAAAAATTCAAAGGAGCCAACAGATGTCATATTTGATTTCCTGTTGCCAGCATCCATGGTCAAAATGCCTCAGAAATACAGGAGCTTTATAATCTAATTTCAGTGGTGAGCCTGACAGTGTGTTCCTTATTATGGAATGGTGAAGCAGCATTGCATTTTCAAGGACTGACTTTCAGGCTGTCTCCTACTATAGAACACAATAAGATTTTGTTAAAAACCAAATACATGGAAGGATCAGAAAAGTCGTCTAATTCAAGCATGCTTAAAGCGAATGACCAGGAAATTGAAAGGGTGAGAGAATTAAAATATACTGGACCTACTATAATGGAAGATAACAGAAACATTACTGAAATAAGACAGAGAGTTTTAATGGCAGATCGAGCTAGTTATAGCCTAAAGAAAGGATTAAATTCACGATATTCAGAAGACAGACAAAATGTGCTCTATATAAGATGCCTGTAAGACATATATTTACCTATGGAAGCAAAAGTTGGTCCCTAAAATAATGTTTCATGGAAGGTTTTAGCATCAACAGCGTTGAATTTCAGGTTCTGCTACCACATGCTTATCTAAATGTAAAGCTGTTCCTGTGCTTAACTGGAAGGCGTGGAAAAGAACAAAGTCTTTCCCCCACCGTGACTTGAATTCCGACCCCTCAGCCATTCCCCCATTATGTAATTACTTAGTAAATTTAATTGGCAAAATGTATGTAAAAGACTTTACTGCTTACTGACAGAGTCACATTCATGTATGTCTTGAGGCTCAGATATTACACACTGAGATCACCTGTCCTGGAGGCACCAAGAATCTCGTTGTTTCTGTGGTCGATATCTTCTCTGCGGACTGGCAACACCTGACTGACTGTAGGGGCAGGCGATTTCAGGGGCACACAGCATGTGAACAGCAGGTCGGCCATTAGGTCCAGTCCTCCTACACCCCCCTCGCTGCAGCCTGCAGAGAAAAATAAACTGAATTAACTGTCTTGGCTGGAATCAGAATTAGGTCTCAAATTAAAACAAATATAGCATCAGGTGAAAAATGACTGATCAAAGGATTAATAATTTGCCAACATATTTTTTGGTACACTGCACTGCACTGTACATACCCTTGGTGAGTTGCCCTCCAACAATCCAGCATGTGAAGGTGTAAGTGCAGCTGTGTAACACATTGTTGTACACACATGTAGACGGGTATCCTAACAATGATGCAAGCATGAAGCGTGGCCTCTCTCCTTCTGCAACACAGATATAAGTGATAGGGCAACTATGGTTATAATTTGCTGCATAAACCAGATATAAATGTTGTTATCTACTTTTAGATAATTCAGTTTCAGAAATCAAACCAATCTTGCCCATAAATATGCTAAATACAGCCAGCAAAAGTATTCAGCCAGGTAAACTGTGATGTTCAGATATGGTTTTAATAATTAATGAAACGCCAGTTGACAATTCAACAGAACAGTTTGAGAGTTGACATCTCTGGTTACTGTCTCCAAGGATAAAAATTCCACTGATGTATTTTTTACGTCGTAGCCCTTGATGAACACTTTGAAATGACATTTTTTTTTTCGGTGAATATGCAGGATATGTAAAGTTTCGTCAAATGTCAAGATTACACTGCCATTTGAAGAATAAGCACCTCTTATTGCTGTTAATTACTACCATCTTCTGGAATTTTTCACATATCAATAATAAGAGCTGCCATAATTTTGGAAAGAAAATCCGGACCATAACTTGAAGAGTGGACGGGACAAAAAGCAATGAATTGGGGAGGGGCACATTTAAGAGACAAGAACTGATCACAGTTTTCTTTAACACTAGGAATGAGACAACTCAGTAGGTGGCGTAACAGAAATGCTTTAAACTTGAATTCTGGATATTTTCAGTTCAAATCTCTGCCGAGAACCTATCCTGACAGGATCTTCGTTGGTTTCTTCAGTCCCTTCCGGAAAATTCGTGGATAGTACTTCGGGTAAATGAAGACAGCCGCATCATTCATAATCCTTTCCATTTTTTTCAATAAAATATCCTGTCATTAGACTACATACAGTCCAAATAACGACATAAACCCCAATACGTGTTACGTTTACATTTTCTTTTTATTCTGGCAGACAGCACTGTAGAGCTCTGTGTCGGCAACAGACTTTTTCAGAATATCTTCTCCGTAGTTTTGTTAAAAGAGTACAAGGATGATCGAAATCCGGGACATTTGCTCAATTTTTAACCAAGCGGACGGAACCCCGTGACAAGACATAAAAACCGGTACTATCCGGGTTTGCCAGATGTATGGCTATCCAATGAAATTTTAGTTTTTCACGGCGGTGACTATGAAGAATGTCGTCGTGGCGCCGTGTAGATCTTGTTTGAACCGATATTTCGGAGGAACGTATCGCCTTCATCTTCAGGGTAAAAAAGTTCGCGAGCGAGGAACCAACGTGAGCAGGTGGCTGCAGACGGCCACATCCAAGAAAACGGCATTCTTTATGGCTATCTTCCTACCAAGAATCCACATTTCCACATATTCCATATGCTCACACAATCACAAGTCGTATGTTATTATAAAATGTAGGCTTATATATGTACCTCTCCGTTACTGTTTCTTTTGTGCCTCACAGAATAGAGAGAAAATTGTATTAGCAGGAAACTATGAATATTGACATCGAGGTTTAGACAAAAATCCAATTTTTGGTTTCTAGTACATGCAGGCCTATTCACTCCTCATCCTGCTGCATACGCTCAAAGGGCGCTTGAGTCGTGTAACGACATTGTTAGAAAGGTTAGAAAGCAGGAATGGCTCGGTGAAGAGACGCTTGGTAACTTTCCGTAATGACGCAATGCATTAGTGAAGTCCGCCCAGTCTTCAACTTTATATATCAGAATAGTAGGCCATTACAGAACTCTTTAAGTTCGTTGACTGCTGTCAACTCCTTGTTATTCCACTAGGCCAACGATTGTCAAAATATCTAGGACGCGTACCCCTTTCAAATTTCCGGAAATTCTCAAGATGAGTCCTCCATTGCGGGCTTTAAGCTATGATCATGTCCCAATTATTAGAGCGTCCGGGTATTGAAAATGAAAATAAGGGCCCTTTGACACTTGCGTTTGTAGTGTGACCCGTAGAAACAGCTCCATTTCAATAAATGCCACGATAAGACGCTCGTGGAAGAGTGGCCTGGCAGCGCCGGGAATCGAACCCGGGACCTCTGGATCTGTATCCAGGAACTCTGACCACTAGACCACAGAGGTGGTCACGTGAACGTAAACCAGCCCGCTAGCGAATATTCAATAATATTTTGTACGGAGATGGTGACAGCGATATTCTTCGAAAATGCTAAACTGGTCATGACCTACAGCGCTGGACATGAAATATCGAACCTACGAAAAAAGCTGATACAAGTAACTATTGACGAGTAATAATGAGACGAGCTTGTATTCATAACTGGTTCGAATCTTGGTAGGAGTACTGAGTAACTTGTAAATAACTCAAATAAGCCGAGTCCTTCTTGAAAAGCCGCAACTCGCTCAGTTCCTCAAGAATTTCCTAACATGTTACGGAACCCGAAGGCTCATTACCGTGTTCACAAGAGGTCGCCAATATTTCCTATCCTGAGCAAGATTAATCCAGCCCACACAACCCCATTCTATTTCTCTAAAATCCATTTCAATATTATCCTGTCATCTGCTTCTAGGTCTTCCTACCAAAATCGTGAATACCGTATTTACGCATGTATAGGCCGCGTGCGTGTATAGGCCGCAGCACAATTTTCAGACAGAAATTATAGAAAAAATAATTTTCTTGGAATATTATTTCAGGAGTAGAACACCCTGTATTACTAATTATGAATATAATTTTTTTTTTTAAATGAAGTGTGATTTCGAATATTTCAAATATAAGCCGCACCCCAGTTTTCCTCTTGAATTTTTGGCAAAAAATGTGCGGCCTATACATGCGTAAATACGGTATATTCCTCTTCTCTCTCATACGTGCTACACGCTACGGTTACCACGTCCCCCTTGACTTCATTATTCTAATTATATTTAGATGAGCGCATATGTTACGGAGCTCGTCACTGTGCAAGTTACTGAGTGCAAATAATTAACGGCATTTGTGGCTTTTCTCGGGGCACTCCAAGTGAGTGGTGCGGTAACATTTTCAAATAGTTTCCTCTTACATACCTCCACATTCACTACTTTATATCCCCATAAATTCCCCATTTGACACTAAACACCGTTTACAGGTTTATATTGTGGTCTCTGTATTATGATTCAGTGTAATCTGAAAGGTGACTACGGTCGGTTCGGAGGCACCAAACACTTCCTTGGTCCCATGCAAAGTTGGAAACCACTCACCAGAAAATATGATGCATAATCCTGTAGATCACAACGTGAATTTTCACGACCATGTAAACCTCAAGTATTATTAATGTTTATAGACCATACAACGTAAGTAAGTAGGATAGGAAATAGGAATTGAATTCAGTTCTATATTTCACATGCGAACTCAACAGCTACATGAGCCAGTTACGGAGCCAGTACAGTAAAAAAAAAAAAAAATAAAAATGAAGGATACAGCACAGAGATGTAGGACAGATACATGCACATGAGATATTCTACTGCATAGGAGAAGTAGTACAGGCACAAGTAAATAACAACACTGAATGCATTATTACATATTAACCAAATTAAACAAATGATTCTCAAATGTATTCGCACTATTACGGCTAATGTTGCAACTGAAATGGCACGTTTTATGTGAAAATATAATTTAAATTTAGTAAATTCTCTATTTAAGATTTGAGGCTTTCACGGCGGTGACTATGAAGAAAGCAGTCTTCTGGGATTTGGCACCGTGTATATGTGGTGTTAACCGANATAACAGAAATAACAACCTCTCTCTCTCTCTCTCTCTGATGCTCCCGCTTTGGAGCATAGGCCATCCATGAAATACTAAGTTTCACTTCAGTTTCTTAATCCTAAGACAGTCGGTAGGACTCCTTGGACGGGGGATCAGTCCATCGCAAGGCCGCTACGTACACAGAACGACACAAAGTCAGACTAAACGCATACACCATGCCTTGAGTGGGATTCGAACCCATGATCCCAATGTTTGACCGGACGAAGACAGTAGAAATAATAATACTATGGTAAAATTACATTAGGGCCGTGCCACAGCTCAAGCGGTTAGCCGCTGGCTTCCCACCGCGGCGGCCCGGGTTCGATCCCGGGTCTGGTCAAGTGGGATTTGTGGTGGACAAAGTGGCGCTGGGGCAGGTTTTCCCCGAGTATTTCGGTTTCCCCTGCCAATTTTCATTCCACCAATTGCTCCACAATCACCCTCACCTATCATCTGGGGCTGGTACAATAGGCCAGAAGTGGCCGCAGTACAAGGGACTTAGTCCCACCCCACTAGCAATAAAAAAAATAGTCCCACCCTACTAGCATTAAAAAAAAGGATTATGTTACATGAAGTTAGCTAAAATTCGTCACTTTAAACTGTATCTTTATGTCCATGTTTCGATCTTAAACCACCCCTTAAATGCTGGAATTAATAATAATTATAATAATAAAGCTCGTATATATATTTATTTACGTGTTTACTCAACATCCCAAAGGCAAATTATAAAGTAAGCATGAGCAGAGAGACAAACAGAATAAACACACACACTATATATAAAGACAAAAAGGCAACGTGTATCATTTAGACAAGAACAACTCAGTAGGTGCTAGAATAACAGCAGCAGTAGTAATTATGATAACAACAACATGGCCGTGGTTGTAGATACCTATTTTGAATCCCAGCAAAAGAATCTGCTACCTTGAAAATTATATATCTTAACATTCAAAGGTCTTTAAAAAAAAAATTGCGACATTGTCCTGATACAAGGTATGGCCGTTTCTTGTGCATCATTCTATTTTATATATTATTCTCGTAACTTCTATTTCTCGATATATAAAGGAAGAAAACGTCGTAGCGTCTCGACGGCATATAATCAGAATTATTTAAAAGAATCGTTAAACGAACTAAATATAAATAAATATATATAATTAAATGAGACGTCATGAAATATGCACAGAAAAATCCAGGATCTTATGAGGTATTACATTTTGGTTCACCCTGTGGGAAATATTGCGTATCTAGATCCATGATAAATGAAAATAAGAATTCAATGTTAAAAGCGAAAATTAATATAAAATAAATTCCTAATTCTTATAAAAAATATAATAAAATTCGTAG